AAGAAATAGTTACAGGTACTGGCAGCTTATCATTCATGAGAGATAACGTCAAGTTTCATCTGTGAATAAGATTTTTTTCTTCAGTAAGGGAAACAAACTTCCTCATATTTCTACCTCTGAGTCTCCATCGAATCACAGATTCAAATAGAGAAGTTTGTTGGGGAAAGAATTTTAAATCTGTTAGATGAACTAAGAACAAAGCTTTTGCAAGTATTAACTATCACACTTCATAAAAGACATTTATGATATCTTTGGATAGACAGATAGTTAGATTTCGATAACTATTTATGAAGAGTATGCTATATGAGTGAGCAACGTAAAATAAACCCCCTAATGAAGAAGTCACTAGAACAAAACAGCGAATTATGCCTAAAAATTGTTATGTCACAAAACATTTAATGGTCGTTATTGATTATTTTGAATATATTTAGACAACAATATACACATTCAAATGATTTGGTTAAACTGACTCATTTCAATAGAAACTGACTAAAGATTACGAAATAAATGAGAAAGTGCTTTCGCTTTGGAGTTAATATCACTAATAATTCATGTCTTATGTGTAGACGAAATGATTATGATAAAAACGTTCGTAAATTGTTTAAGAATCCAGTGGGTTATGATCTAGTCATTTCTGAAATATAGTGCTTTGGGAGGATGCAAGACAACTGAGTAGAGAGACAGAAAGAATACTTAAGTAGGATTGATCGTTCTACAATAACAGAACCTACCAGTATTTCACATCTACTCTCAGTAGCAGTACGCAAGTCATGATTTATCTTACACCAAATCACCCTTCAAAGGAGTAGCGAATATCATGGTTTTGTCAAAGATGCATCAAGTTGACAAATATCATATTTGTCTGTGTTTTTATACATGAAGAGAATTCCTCAGGAATGTATCCAGTTGAACAGATGCAACTTGTCGAAAAACTGAAGTGGTCAATACATCCAATCACTTCATTTGTTTTATACCTCAACTAAAAGTTGGTGTAAAGCAGTCCCGTGCCTTCGTTACATAATTTCGCATGGATAAACCACTTTTCTCAGGTTGTTCAGAAGACTATACATGTTCAGAAATGATTTTCATTCTCAAATGTTGATGATCACCATTTGATGCATTTCTTTTAGTCTAAAAGTGAAATAATTTGAGCCCATTTTTTTATTTCCTTCACATTTCCCAATGGAACATAAGGCCTCAAGCTAGTGGCTTGAAGTTTCTGTATCAGTGTTTAATTTTACAGGATGGGATTGCTACCCTCATGTCCAACCTTTCCTCTTTACCAGTCTTATTACTGGTTTAACGAGGTAAAGGAGTGCGTCACTGGCCGGGGATCGAACCCCAGACCATGTGCATGGTCTGCAAGCGTCTTAACCGCTGTGCCAACGACAATATAAGTCCATGGTGTTCTATAAAAAAACACAACAACAACTACGCTTCACTTGTTGCGCCAAATAATTCGTCGAATAAATGAATTGGAAAAGAACTTCTGCAAACCCTACACAGTATGAATTATTTTGCTTTTGTGATACTAAGAGCGCTTATTTACTTCGTGTTAGATACAGTATGAAATAGCTAAACATTATGTTATCAATACGACTTACCGAAGATGTTATCCGTGTAATCTGTTAATATCTAACTGATTGTTTTTGTAAATTCAGGAGTTTAGTTTATAAAATAATGTTAAAGTTGCATAAATGTATAGAGATATATTGACAGATATAGATTGATGATAGGGATTCTTTAATAGATATCAAAAGACACTACTCAACTAGATTAGTTACCACTGAATGAAAGTGAAACTGATAGACAAGAACTTCTGAGAGACTGTTTTCTTTCTCATTTGCATGCTATTTACCCTGAATATTTCGTTTTCGTATTTTTTTTCTGACAGATATTTTCTTCCTGTTTAATGTCTTCCCCAAAAACTCTACAACCATTCCCTTTATTTTTTGTTTGTCTACTCTCTATAGACACTTATCAACCAATAGTTGACTAGCTATCAGATATTCAAATCGACCAATTAAAATTAAAACACCTCATACTAACTAGCTAGGTTGAATATCACAAGAAGCATATAGATTTTTCTGTGTGAATAGATAAGTTAATATTGATTTAAATGACAAAATCATGTAGTAAATTATCCTTGTATGATAATATTATTGTTATTATTATCATTATTGCTGTCATTATTTTTCAGTATCTCTTCAACAGTTCATAGTAGTTTAACTTTATAAAGTGCGAATCATTTCCAGTGATATATGTAGGCACAGCTTCAGACTCTGTATAAACATACATCACTTGCACTGAAGTTTATATATATATATATATATATATATATATATATATTGTCTTGACAAAAGCTCACTAGCAACTGGTTGTATTCAGCCAGTTGAGATTGAGTCAGTAACTCATCGAAGAAGACATTGTGAAGTGGTTGCGCAATGTCATGAATTGGCAGAAGTTGGAATTCATGGCCTGGCCATTGGATGGGGTCCCTGTGACTTAATGGCCTGCGAGCTCTCTCGTCTTGTAACCAGAAGGTTCTGGGTTCAAACTTGCTGCGGTGGGTGCGTGCTGATGAAGGGTCCGGAACTAGGACGAAACAGCTGACCAGTACTCCAGTGCTGGTTTTCCAATGGTTCTGTAACTGATGTCAGCTCATGATGAAATACTCCAATTCATCTGATTAATGAAACACTTCGTGCTACTATTTATTTCTGTATTCACAAAACTGTTACAAGACTATTAATAGCTTTTTTTAGTTGTAAATACCACAGTGGTTGGGATTCTCGCCGACCATACACATGGTCCGAGGTTCGATCCCCTGCCGACTCACACCTGATATTTATGGTCGTCCTGCAAAATTTGGGCTACCGATATCACATACTGAAAATTCCATACCTGTACCAAAAAATACGGTGTAAAATCATGCTGTAATAAAAAAATAAATAAAATAAATAAAACTGAACTGCTTAACATGAAATTATACTCTACTTACCATAATATTACATCCCTCCTTTCATGAAAATGACGAACACAAGACGGTGAATTCCACAAAGATTTCAGTAAAACTTAAAGCCGAATATGATGGCATAACGGAAAAAAGCGGTTTAAAAATATGGAAACAAGGGATGTGTTGACTTAATCAGATGATTTATTTACCACATTGTAGTAATTTCCATATTCGAATTTCACCTTTCCATCGAAATTAGCCTAAACACTAATGGACCCTCTACGACTACACACCAAATGTTTACTACAAGACCAGGCGATGAAGTTTTACCGAGATCTAAAATAAATTCATTACATTTTCATAGAGCAAAAGTGTGTTTAGGATATTGTGTATTCTCTCCTTCGGATACAAGTGGAATCGTGAAATTTTTCAAGGAAGCAAATGTATACGCTGTAGTCGAGCGTAAAGTTCACAACATTTCTTAGACACTTCACTAAGCCTGCCTTAACAGTTAACGGATGAGACGAATTAAAGTTTAGCACTAAGTAGCGCAAGAAAATACCTAAATGACGAAATAAAACAGATAGAAGAAGCGTTGGTGTTGAATAACTATCCTATAAAATTCATTAGGAAGAACAGTAAAGGCCAAAAACAAAATAAAAATAATTGTGGAACTAGAAATGTTAACATAAATAAGAGAGAATACATGTCATCCACTGTTATACCATATAAGGAGGGGACATCTGAGACCCTACGTAGGATTCTTAATAAAGCAGGAATTAGGGTGGCATTGAAACCTACAAACTCACTCAGAGACAAGCTCTGTAGGTTAAAGGACCCAGATGACCCAATTAGACAAAATAATATAATTTACAAAATACCCTACAATGACTGTGAGGTCAACTACATAGGTCAAACTAGTAGGTCAGGGGTTACGTTGACCCCGAGAAAATTAGTAATTTAGAAAAAAGCTCAGCGATTGCACTTCACGCAATAACAAACAACCACACAATAGGATGGGATAGGGTTAAAATTCTAAGAAGTAATATAGGTAGGTGGAGAGAGAGGTTGATTACTGAATCCTTGTTCATCAAGTCTACACCCAACACATGCAACAGAAATGACTTGATGCAAATGCCAGAAATATGGAAGATATTATCACCGCCGGTTAAATCAGAGGAGGATAACAAATAATCTGAAAATTCGATTTCAATTCAAGCACATCGCAACATTATAAACAAGTTACTTATTTTGACTATAAAAACACTCGTCTTATTTTCCATCTAATTGTAATTGACCAATAACACTGGTATCATTATTTCTGAATGTACATTATCCCATATGGATTTTTATTCAGATATCTAGTCAATTTCACTCATGTATATAAATGAAGGAAAAAAGTTGTGTGAGTGACTTGATATGATTATGAGTGGCAATAGTTTGTGCTCGAAACGTCATCAGTTAATATTACTGTATAACACTGTGTGATTTATCAAAATAAAATCTTATCCATAATGGAGTTATACTCTACCACAATGCCCAAGTTTTGTTCAGTAGAGATTAATAATCAAGACCAACTAACTGATTTCTAACACTAGTCAAAATAAAATAAAAAACGGCTGTTATTAATTTCATGAGTCATTGCTCATTCACAACATGTTCACACTCTCTAACTTTTTATCTATTCCACTGATCTGTTGATTTCACTCCTATCCTACTGATTTTGTACCTTCCCTTGCGTTTATTCAATGCTTCAAACTTGACTTATCTCTCCCAATTGCTGAACAAAAAAGAAAGCACTGATCACATTGAATATTTTCGTTTGTTTTTTGAAAATATATAATCAATAAACTGTTGACTCGGTATCCCATGAACCAGTTGTTTGCCATGCTTCATTTAACAAATTTTTTTTGAGGTAATTTTATTAAAAAAAGAAAGCTCATTTTGATAACAAAAACGATCAGTGATCAGATATATTTATTCTTTTATCTTTCAATTTAAAATACAAAGTATACACTGGAAATTCAATAAATTCAATACTTACAAATCTTTCTTCATTGTGTATGTATGATAAGGTAATGAGATAGTTACATTTTTTGTACATTCTTGGATAATGAATTATGCCATTGGTAAAGCAAACAGCTCAAATTATTCACACTCCATCGGTAGAAACTGTTATTCTGTATCACACCTTCTTAAGTGTTTTGATTTGATTGTGTTTTCTGAGCTGATTGGTTTGATTGGGAAGCTTTCGTTTCCTATCTAGACAGCCTCTTCAGCGCTGAAGTTACTATGATCCTGTAGAATAATCAGGCTTAAATAAAAACTTAAATTTAAAGAAAGGAGTTAATAATGATCAACTGAAATCCATCTGTAGATTTATTTCAGTCAAATTTTGTTCGTTCATTGTGGATGCTTCTTTTATATCAACGCTTATTATTTTTTCCTGTTTATTTTTACAGGATAGGGTCGCTGACCTCATGCCCACCCTTTCCTCTTTACCAGCTTTATTTCTGGATTAGCGAGGTAAGGGGAGTGCGTCGGCTGAGGATTCAACCCCGAACCATGTAGATGGTCGGCAAGCCTCCTAACCGCTGCACCACCGACGCACACATATCAACGCTTAACATCCAAAAATCCTATTTCAAAATCTCAAAGCGAAAACAGGTTGCTACGAAAACGTTTTTATACATATCAGGAAAGCGATTCTGTTGGATCTGTTGTATCTTTTCCTGAAAATTACTCCATTCTTCATTGAACTGTTCAAACGCTCAGTTAACACATCTCTCTAGAACATACAAATAAATTTTACTGATATGTGAGTCGGTGGCACAGCGTTTAAGATGCTGGCCGACCATGCACATGCTCCCGACTGACGAACACCTGATATCAATGGGCGGCCTGCTAAATTTGGGCTACTGATATCACTTGCTGAAAATTCCATAGCTGTAACAAAATACTGTGTGTAATCAAGTTATAATAAAATAAATAAAAATAAAATAAAATTTTGAGTTCGCCATTGACTTAACTATCGTAATTATTCAGCATTATCTGATAAGGACTGTTAAGAGAAATGCAAATGAATAATTCTTTTCAAATGTTGGTTTGTAGGAATTTTATTGGTTACAGGATCTCATCTTGAACTGACATTGGTTAGAGAACCATCGGAAAACCTGGGAGTACTGGACAGCTATTTCGTCCTAGTTTTGAACTCTTCAGCATGGCGGAAGTTAGAATTCATGGGCCATTGGATCGGGTCCCAGTGGCTTAATGGTATACAAGCTCGCTTTGAAACCAGAAGGTCCTGGGTTCGAACCCTGGTGGTGCGTGCGTACTTCTGAAGAGTCCCAAACTAGGACGAAACAATTGTCCAGTACTCCCAGGTTTTTCACTGGTTCTCTAACCAATGTCAGCTCTCCGGTACTACTTACAGTTGATTTTTGGTTGGCTAACTTTGTTCTACAGTACTCGTTTTGCACTGAGAACTTATCTGATTTATACAGCTGCCTAACGATATTGTTGAGGTAATTTCACTGTCTAATTATTATTAAAATATTATTCCCTTGAGTCCCAAGTGGAACATGTGGCTTCAACAACACATTTCCACTTTTTTATATTCTCTGCTCTGCTATTAAGCTGGCTTCACGATTGACCATAATCTCTCATCTCCTCGCCGCACAATCTCCTCCATGTTTCCATCGCACCGGCGCTCCACTCGTTGCTTCCCATTAGAATTCCACTCGAGCGATGGCCTGCATTGCATACGAAGTCATTCGACGGCCTCTCTTCAACGTCTGCCCAATCCATCTCCATTCTCTCCAACACATTTGTTGTGCGATCGGCTCTCTCTCTTGGTTGGTTTGTTCATCGTCAGCCAGACTCTCTTGTTTCTAATTGTTCCTGGCTGGCCAGCCAGAGAAGTCTGTAACAGGCTTTTGGAAGAGGCTGGCCAGGTTTCTGACTCGTATTAAAGAATTGACTGACTTCACATTTATGTTGGAAATTAGAATCTTGTTCTTTATGATACTAGGTGAGTGAAGCAGAAAATTTCCCAACTGGTTTCAGGTTGGTGAAGGCGTGTCTTGCCTTTCGCATTCTGGTTGATGTTGACGTCTTCATTCTTTTTTGACTGCCTGAGGCGGAAACCCTTCTTCTCAGCCGGATAAGTGATTGCAGTAACTTCTGTTGAATCTCACCCGTTGATGTTGATTGGTGCTGGTGGTTGTTGTTGTTGCTGCTGCTGCTGGTTGGTTGATTATCTTCATCACGTGCGTCTTCTCTATACTTACCTGGGATCCAGTCTTCGCTATTGCTTGGTGTGTTATTATTGTCAAAGAGTATCATATGGATTTTATTGTAAATAATTGTCTTTTTTGCTGTCTTTGGGGCATTTTGTGACTCAATGCAGCTATGTTCAGCCAAACAGTAGAAAGCATAGGTCGATTCGCTGAGTTCAGACCATAGCACATCGGTTTTGGTCGTTACGTCCACCTTTTAATGGAATGTCTTTCTGCACCTGATGAATAGAAGTTATGCATTATATATATATGTATATTCTTTAAATTGCTAAACAAACAGAAAGATAGTCACATTGAAACAGTACACCTAACCACTACTAAATAACCCTAAATGAACGCAAACAAAAGCTATTTATAAGTGACATTCACAACAGGTTAATTTTCATAAGCATTGAGGAGAATTCCCTCAACTCATTTAAAAAATAACAACTTAAAGTGAGTATAACTTTAGGGGATTACAGTTAGACAGTGTACATATGGTTATTTACTGTTTAAATAGGATTGTTTATGTGACACTTTTAAATTTGGGTCAATGGTTCTACTAAACAAATTCGTGGTATACTTTATTTTAAACACAAGCATAGAAGACTCAGTATTATGCTCACGGAATGAAGTGGAATTCATTGCTTAATTTCTATTTACAGCTGACAAAATGTCAGTTTTCTCCTTTCTATATGTTTTCTGTTCAAGTCTCTATGCATATACACACACATATATCATTGTCTGTCAAGTTAATAACTTTATGTTAGCTTTAATGAAATAATTGATGAAGCATGCGTTTGTTTGAATTTATATCATTCAGAGTTGTTAATTGTGTTAGATAGACATTGGGGAAGGAAATGCAGTTTACAAATACTCTTCATTCACTAGTGTTAATTCTCTTGTAAGTCCAAATATTTATTACTATTATTAATAATTTTATTAGTTCTCCTACAAAAAGTAACGAATAAGAATAAGAAGCTACAAGGAAGATAAAGTGTTGCTCAACGCCCATCTTACACAATAATTATTTCCTTAATAATGTAACATTTTAGCTGAAAGCCATTGAGAAAGAATGCATATATTACATACATCCTATCTAATTAACTAATAGGCTGATAATGGTGAAAATAAATGGGGAAATTGTATTGCATACAGACAGATTAGTATTTGTTGACTAGATCTTTCACTAAACTATTCTCAGTAGGAAAAATATAAGAGTTTACGTCATTTAAGATTGTAGTAATTTTGCTAAGTAAGAAAAGATATATAAGTCTATATAACCATATATTTTTAAAACTAATGTTTACTATGTTATCCACTAATTTTATTATTGTAAAAGAGAAAACTATTTATCCAACAGCTTTGAGTCTTACTAGCCCTAGAGTTTAATGCAAAAGTATTGATTGTGATGAAAGCATCTCTGGTAATCCTTAGTTTTATTTTATTTTATATATTTTTTTTATTACAGCTTAATTCCACACCGTATTTTTGGTACATGTATGGGATTTTCAGAATGGATATCGGTAGCCCAAATTTTGCAGGCCGACCATAGATATCAGGTGTGCGTCGGCAGGGGATTGAACCTCGGACTATGTGTATGGTCGATGAGAGTCCTAACCACTGTGCCACCGACGCACCAACATATTGACTGCAAAAAAATTACAAATCACTACGTCGGAATAAGTCAAAATCTTCACTCTCCAACCTTCAGCATCTTGCTGAATTAGAAATGGATGAAACTAATGACAAACTTTCGAAATCTATTGAAACACACCAAAGACTAATTCCTCTTTTGGATAATTTATCTTTAGTATGTCGAATTAAATCCACAGTATTTTGCAATGATATGGTGAAAAAGACCATAAGTTCTACCGAAGAAAAAATTAACAAAATATTTGAAAGGCTCGAACCATATTTTGGAATTTCCTCAAGATATCCACAAACATATAATTAATTTATCTACCTGCACTCTACCCTATTCCAACTACAGTTGGAAGCATTATCTTATGGATTGAAGTACAAAACTATTCCTAGAAAAAATTAACAAAATGGAAGTCCAGTCATCACAGTATGAAAACCTCTATGAACAAATCTCTGATTTAACTTCTTCTAGTAAAGATAATCTGGACTGATTTAAAGTTAAACTGGTGGATATTTCTCATCAATTTCTAAATGCTAGAATACACCAGAAAAATGGTTTATCAAAAGAACACCACGCCGCACTTAAGGAATTAATCGAAAAAGATAATCTTGTGATCCTTAAACCTGATAAGGGAGAAGGCCTTGTCATTATGAACAAATCGGATTATCAAAATAAAAGTGAATGACATTCTCAAAGATCAGTGCGAAATTCTGGTGGACAATGCTACTGATAATGTGCCACTTGTGAAAAAGCAGATCAATCGTCAGCTTCAAATTTTACTGATGCATGGTTCTACAAATGAAAAACTTTATAAACAACTTAAACCAATTGGGTCACATACTCCTCAGCTTTATGGCCTTCCGAAGATCCACAAAACTGGGAACCCACTAAGACCCATCTTAGACATGTCAAATTCTCCTTACCATAAAATCGCCAACTGGACTACAGAGATCCTTACGCCTGTAAGAGACTCATTATCAAGTCATTCTGTAAAAAGTTCATTTGATCTTACAGAAACGCTAGACACCTTGAGCATTAAGGAAAAGGTTATTTGTTCAATTGATATAGAATCTTTATTCACCAATGTTCCCCTTCATGAAACTGTTGATTTCATTTGCGATTATATCACAAGCAACGTCATAAACTTACCTATTCCTGTAACTTACATCAAAGACATCATCTTAATGTGTACAGAAAATATTAGATTCACATTCCAAGAAAAGGCATACAAACAAATAGATGGTGTTGCGGTGGGGAGCCCTCTGGGGTCCCTGTTAGCATATATATATTTATGTCAAAATTAGAGAAAAAAATGCAAGGTATGCTTGGAGAATTTATGCTGTATAAATGTTATGTATATGATACTCTCATTATTGGTAATAATAGTAAATCTATTGAAAACTTCACTACTCTATTTAATCACAATCATCCAAATATTCGAGTGACTTCCGAACTAGAATCGAATAACAAACTCGGTTTCCTGGATATTACTATGACTAAGAGAGATGATGGAACGATTCAGCGATTTATTTTTCGTAAACAGACATGGACTGGACAATATCTTCATTTTACCAGTTTTGTTCCTATCCAGTATAAACGTTCCCTAGTGAAATGTTTGTTCTCAAGGTCCCGAAAAATATGCACGACTGACACATTGATGGATGAGCTTCGACAAACTTGTATTTAGGACAACAGTGGAGAAGCTGAGTTCAATGTACATCTCAGTGAATAAAGAAGTGAAGAAGAGTGCCAGGAAAGACAAAAGACAATTCCACGATACACAGAAAACTGAAGCAGAATAGGCTGTAGGTGAAAAAGATCCCAGAACACTGTGATGGATAACTAGGTCTCAAACAAAGAAGAAGCCAATAAACGATATTCATGGGAGCCTAATTACCAGAAAGAAGGAACAAACAGAACAGTGTGCTGTTAACTTTAAAGGACTTCAAAATCGATAATCACCTGAAACTCGTCCAGCAGCTATAGAACTGCCAGTGGACAACAGTTCTCCAACAAAGACAGAAATTGAAGGCAATCAAGCTAATGAAGTCCAGCAGGACACGATAGAATTCTCACTGAAACACTTAAAATGGATACAGAAACTGCAAGGCATATGCTTACCCAACTATTGCAAGCAGCGTGATAAAAATAAAAGTTGTCTCCTGGCTGAAAGAAAGGCTACCCTGTCCAAATACCAAAAAAGGGCGATTTAGGCCTCTTCAAGAACTATCGCAAAGTTATACTCTTGTCCGCATCCAGCGAAATATTGTATCATGTAATCCTGGAGATACCAAATGATGCTCTCAATACAGAAATCCGCCAAGAA